AATGTTGGTTCGCTGATGATGGTCTAACCGGTGGCTAGCTAGAAAGCCAAAGTGATAGGTGACGATAATGATGAATCAACTTTTCCTATGATCAACAACTCCTCGATTCTTTTGTGAAAGATACAAAATAGGGCCCTATATGCAAAAGTTACTAATTAACGAATTTACCTTCCTAGGGAAGATCGACAGGCACCAAGGAAGGGAAGCAATATTGTAAAAGCTTATTATATATATATATATATATATATATGTGCAGGTATAGTAAATGAAGACTTCTTTCACTAACGGGAAAGCGTTAGATGGTCTAAGTTCCAACCATAAAAGCCTACCAAGTTTGAATGAGATTGAAGTAGATGTTAAAAGTGGGGCACCTCATCATGTCCCACAGCACATCCCCACTGTGTATTGAGAACATCTCTCTCGATGATACCTCATCATTTCTGGTGCTTGTCATCCGAAGGTGTTCCTAATACACAGCAAGGATGTGCTGTGGGGCACGGGTTGATTTCAACTCCAATAATACGTCATGGATCGATCCATCTTAAATGGTATTTCATTTTTGTGTGTCAAGGCATCCTCTAGAAGTAATGTGCTATAACCTTAACCTGAGAGTGAGTGGTGTCAAATGGATAAAGGTATTTTAATTTAAGGCATTTTGTAGAAGTGAACCACCACAATTAATTACATCCCCTTGTGGTGGAAAATGTGTAATGCTCGTGTAATATTATTTAAAAGACTTTGGAATTAGTAGACATAATGAAATGAAAAAGAGGATGATTAATGTTGCATGCTTACATGAAACTAAATATATACAAGGAAAAACAACTAGCTAGAGAAGGTTGATGGTTGCAAATTATGTTATAAAAGGGGTTGTAAATAATAGATATAGAGTTACGCTGCAATAACAGTAGTAAGAATCTAAAAATAAAATTTTATTAAAAAAATTAGAAATAACATAATTTTAATTAAACTTATTTTTAGTGGAAAAATTACTAACGTAATTAGTACTTATACACTTCAAATGGATTTAGAAGAAATCGATTTTTTTTTATTTTTTAAAGAAGACAATAAGGAGTTTTTGTTTGTATTATGAAACTTCGGGATAGAATAATTGAGTAAAGGTTACAACATGAAACAAGTATATCAGAGAACCAAATTGAGTTTTTGTTAGGGAGATAAATCATGGAAGATATCTTTCTTTTGTGATTATTGATAAAAAAAAAGTTTAGAGAGAAGATGAAAGCTTCACATGGTGTTCATTGATCTAATGAAAGCATATGATAAAGTCCTTAGGAAGAAAATATGATGGGTCTGGGAGAAACATTAGATTTTATTGTTACAATAAGTCTTCTCCAAGGTTCAAAATTAGCCATTATTTATTTGCTCAAATCATAATTAAATTTACTAAACATGTTTAGGTGTTTTAATTGATGATACTACTGAATGATTAAATTCCAAATTATGTTTATGGACAAATGCCTTAGAAACAAGAGGTGTTAAAATCAAGAGTATAATGGAATATATGCAATGTACATATATAGTAGGAGCACACAAATCAATGTACACTTAAGATTGGGAGTTCAGATCTGCGCCCCACAGTGTCCCACAGCACATCCCTGCCGTGTATTGGAAATACCTCCCAATAATGATATCATCAGAACTGATACTATCATCAGAAGATATTCTCAATGTACGACGGGGATATACTATGAGCAATTGTGGGGCACAGATGTGATCTCTAAGATTGGAGACTAAAAGATGGCCTTTTGTTTAATAATTCATAACAAGGGAGATGTTAATGAAGATGCCACTCATAGAATTAGAGTAGGATGGGCAATGGATGGGTGCATTCAAAATCTTATATGATAGGTGAATATGATCTCTAGGAAGCCAATGGTTTGCCTAAAGAAATCACCATCCATTTAATTCAAGAGAAAATGGGTCCTCCATGCACTTTGGAACAGTACAAAAAGGCCCTAAATCGATTCATTAATGCAAAGTGGGTTAACATTTCTGAACCCATTTTGTGCTATTGTTGTGTGTCTCCAATCAAAGCAAACACCTGTACATTTTTGCTAACATTTGGAAGAAAGCATCAGATAAAACATTAAATGCTCTATCTACCCGACAAAATGATCCGTTCTGCCTCACTTTGTTAATTTCCATCTCTTTTGATTAAATGCTCTACTCAAGATTAAATCGTTATTCCCCCATCCTCACTCTTTGACTATGAACCCTCGACCATCTTTCATAAGATAATTGATTTAAACAAAGCAAAATGTGTGACAGACCATGGTGGTAAATAAGCAAGGTCATATTACATTATTACTGGACTATCAACTCCTAAACCAAAATTTTGGAAGAAATAAAATTTAATCTGCTTTCCCAACTCAGGTTTATCAAGATATACAAATCGTTACATATAGGGGAGAGAGACCATTCCTACCCTAGTCAGTGGCCCAACTAAACCATATCATGATTAATGACCCACAAAAAATTTAATCTACTTTCCCTTTATGCTATGCTTGTTCCAGGTCATGACCCATAAAAAATTCAAAATAATTCCAGGCCTGACTATCTATGAAAACCCATTCACACCAGCCATTACATCCCCCTATCGAAAAAAAAAAAAAAACAGAAAAAGAAAAAAGAGAAAACAAAGAGGATGGAATACATGTCTGAAGCATGCGAAATGAGGGAGTTACATACTACAAAAAAAGATAACTGATCATATTTTTGTACACTAAACAGAGTTTCATTCATTGATCAGAGTTATCGGATACATGTTATGATCATTATATACTGTTGTACCCCAAATCGATGACTATTGTATGGGTATGATTCATGAAGGAGCCATTCAAATCAGAGTTTCATTCGCTAAAAAAACCAGATTTAGTGTGATGGCCAGTTTGTATGCATCCCAAATAAAATAAAAACAAAGGATAGTTCGACCCTCTTCTTCGTAACAATTTTTAGATGATCATGTGTATTCAGTTCAAAAAAAGTAGAGGGAAAATAGTGGATATGCTTTCAGATCCGCAAATGGGGTTTACTTTAAACGTTGAAAGTAGAAGATAATGTAAGATTTAAAGTTTACATGGGTGCAAAAAATAAAAACTGAAGTTAGATCTGTTATGTACCATTGATACATAACTCAGATTTGCCAAAACGATGATAGATCTGTTACCGATTATGTTTGAGAGGAAGGTCATTGTCTTCAACGGGCAGTGGTTCAGAGTGGACAACACTGGTATGTGATGGGTAGAACGAAGAAGACTAGTAAATAGTAAGTGCAAACCTACAAAAATAAGGCAGTGGTCAGTACAAAAAAATGGAAAATGGTGTTTACCTGGTCATATTCGATTGATTTTTAGTGAGATCGATTGTCGCCATGGCTGAAAGTAGATGATGATAACTTGCCATTGTGGTAGGGTTTAGTAGTGATGACAACCACCTCCCATGGACGATCAATGCACCCATGAAGCTTATTTACTCTTTCTTTGAAGAAAGCAAATATTCGTATCCAAAAAATTAATAGAGAAATATCTCAATTTCTTGAAACGAAGCTGTTAGAAAATACAATTTCCTTCCATTTTACGATGCAGAAATGTATTGCAAATAAATGCCTACAAATTAACCTGAACCGGAGTACATAAATACACGGGTTTTGCATTTGTATTATAAACAAATGCAGCCTTAGTGACTTCATTGTTCCACTTATATGGTACTATACCAAGATTTTATGAATCCAATTGGATTGGGAGAGGAAAGGTGTTAGGCATCACTCTTTCCAAGTTGTAAATTAGTGGAAGCCCAATCTTAGTCCAAGTAGTAAATTAATGATATCTCAAAATCTTCTCAATAATCCCTCTAGAATCTATTATTTTTAGTTTTTGAGTGGCAGCTATTGAGACTTAAGTACTAATTTTCTAAAACCCCTTGCCTCTCTCCCTCTAATCCTAAAATTGCGAGAAGCTTGAAAAAAAACTTCCCAAGATTTGGAATCACAATCAACCCAAGCTCAAATTATCAAGAAATATGAAGAAAAATAGCAGCAAATAATACAAAATTAACCCAATCCACATGTTCGAGGTTTTAGGAAAGCCCTTACATGCAAAAAATTCTCAAGAAAATAGATCAAGCAAGCTTTTTAGAGGGTTTTAATCAATCAATCCAAGATTATCATCATTTTTTCAATGGTTTCTTATGCCTATTAGGGGTTTGTTCTAGTATGCCTTTGGCAGGTTTGAATTTAGTCTCTCAATGATAAAAACATAAATTTAAAATGGCCTTCTTGTCATTTCCTAGGCTTAAGAGGTTTATCTTAGGGGTTTTGGGGTTCACTTGGCCTACTAGCTGCGTCCTAATTGGTCCCGGTGGTATAGATATAGGGGGTTTAAGTGAAGGGCTGACATCAACCCCAACATATATGTTGACCACTTTACATGTGTTTACGAGACCGAGTTAAAATGTAATAGTCTTTTAGTTTTGAACTTCTGTATGTGTTTGATTGTAGTACAAATCTAATTGCGCTGATGCAAAATTATGATTTATTTTTGTTTCAAATTTTACCTTACTTTATTTGATTGTAGTACAAAGAAAATTAAAACAAGACTTGAAACATAATAAAATAAAACCTAAAACAAAATTAAATCAGAATTTGCATTCCAACGTTTTCGTACTAATAAAAATAAAATTGCACTGCAATCAAAAACAGCCTCTGCAACATTATCACCATCTCTATACCCTAATCCTGTTTTGTTATTTTTTGCTTATCTAGCTTTTTGCTAATAATATTTCTATACTCTGAAACCACTTGGTTATTACTGCATTTCACATTAACCGAGCATAAATATATAATCTCTCCAGTTATAAAGAGATGGTACGGTTAATGTTGGATGTTTGTGAATGAGACACCCTAGTATATGATGAGATGATGAGATCTTTAATTCTCTACCGTGGAAAGCATCACCACCTTCGACAGTATGGCCTGTGGACGGCGTAGGCTGCCAAACGTGGACCGCTAAATTTCTCTCCCGTCCAAAAGACAAAGAAAGTTACCGTTCCATCTCTCTCTGTCTCTCTCTCTTTCTCTTGAGATTCAAATGGTACGATAACAAATCATCCCTCCTCTTCTTCTCGACAAGATTAACATGGCTACAGTAGCGTTCCGTCCGGGAGAGTTTTTCTTTGGAGATTAATTAATTTATTGGCTAGACGGAAGGGGAGAGAGATTCCTAGTACAGTACATGTTACCCATTTCAAGAATTTATCTTCGCTATATTTAAGGAAGAATTGCAAATAAAACAAGACCTTAACGCCTCCATTTCCCATCCTCTCAGACCTGAGACAGTGAAACTTTGCTGGTACAGGTTACCTATCTAGAGATATGAGCAACAAAGGAGTCTAGTTCGGTACAGGAAATTCCACCTTGAGCCACCGACCGACGGATGGAGCCACTCAATTCCTTAGCTCGCTTTCTCATGTTGTTCCCTTCCTCTGATGCCATCAATCTTTTGACTGCATTCTCGACAGTGACAGATGGAACCAATTCCTGCCGGCGATCCCATTCTTGGACCACGAGACCCACCTTCAGCACTTGGGTTACGAGCATGGTGTTCCTTGGCTGGTCGGAGTGCATCGGCCAAGCTGCAACCGGCACGCCCAAGCTGATGCTTTCCATGCATGAATTCCAGCCACAGTGACTCAAGAATCCGGCTGTCGACGGGTGGGCTAGTATCTCCAGCTGTGGAGCCCAGTCCCTTACAATTAATCCCACTCCCACCCCTTCTATCCTCTCCTCGTAGCCCTTCGGAAGTTGTATCTCCCTACCGGACTTCTCCCCTGCGTAAATATCTCCTATGTCAGCTTCTCTCAAGACCCAAACAAAACGTTGCTTGCTACGTTCTAGCCCAACTGCAAGCTCGAGTATCTGATCGTCCGGTAATGATGTCATGGTTCCAAATGAAACATACAGTACTGATTGCAATGGTTGCTTGTCTAGCCACTGCAAACACTTGTGTTGACGATGAGGCGATTCTCTGGTCAAACGGAGCGCCATTGGATTCAGGGGCCCGACTGCCCATAGTCTCTTATCTCGATTAAGCTGCTCTTTAATCAGTAGATCCAAGAACCTACCTTCGACTGGCCGGCATGTGTTGTAGATATCACCAGCGTCGAAATTCATTATATCATATTGACGAGTGATAAAATTCGCGAACTCGGTGGTGAAGCAGCCTTCCAGTGAGATGTAGGGTAGCTCATTTGGAAGAACAATCCCTCCATTCGAAGGTCGTCCACGAGACTCCCATAAGTAGTAGACGAGAGCAAAGGCCGATGCGCTGTGGAAGGCATAGGCCTCACCATTAGGGAGGGTAGCCACATCTTGCACAGCAAATGCTGTGAGTGTATCATGAACAACAACGAGTCTGTGTGTGGTACGTGAAAGCGAACGAAGGAGTGCGGCGACGGGCTCACGGAGGTGCAAGGAGGCGTTGAACGACGGCTGGAGGTGGCTGGGGAACTTGATGGGGGCATCTGGATTGGGCGGAGGTGTGGGGAATGGTGGCATGGGGAAGTCATGGAAGTGGAGGTTGGAGATTGTGAGAGGGTTCCAGCCATGAATACGCTGCCTTGCTTGGCGGTTGTGGGTTGCTGAGCCAGCGTAGTGTACCGGAATCCCGTAGCCTGATATTAGCCGGGAGAAGTGTAAGAGCTGATTGAGGTGACCTTGTGCCGGAAAGGGCACTATCACCACCGTGACTTTCGGCTTTTTAGGGCCATCTTGATCACCAAAGCGATGATGAAGATGATCCATTCGATTCAAGGTTGTTGATGAAATTTCCTAGCTTGTTTTTTCTGCAACTCGATCTGCAAGAACTTATAGTTCTATGCCTATATATATATATATATATTCCGCATGTCCTTGACTTAATCTTTCTTCCTTTCACGTATCAGATTCCTTCATTATTTTGTATTCAGCAAATGGGGATGGCAAAGTTGGAGATAGAGCACTCAAATAGAGGGGTTCAGCTGTCTTGTATTGTTTGTTATGGGGGTCGCTTCATCTCTATTTTGTACAAGTCTTCTAATGGCTGAGGATGCTTTGGCCTTTTTTAATTTTGTTAGGTCGTCCCCTCCCCTACTTTTCTACCATTCCTTTCTTTCTTTTAATATAATTTTTATTTTACTAGCACGAAGGACCAACAAAACAATTTTTGTTCATACTGGTTCATACTTGGAAATCATCCTGGAAGATTGGAAAATCATCCATTCCAGAGATCTGAATGAACTCAGTGACTGGCCTCAATACTAGTGCTGAATAATGTGTTGAAGCGAGCATTTGCTTTTTTTTTTTTTTTCAGGTTAAGCCCACAATGGGTCGGTCTGAATATCCCATGCAGGATAGCTCCAAAAGTCAAAAATTGGATAAGCTTCAACAGTTGCTTAAACTGATGAACCAAGAGGGCTTATTCTAGTTTTATTTTTTTTAGGGGGCATTCTGTTTTTGGATTTTGAGAGGGGAAAGTTTATCAATAGAATTTTGATTCCCGTTGATAAAAAAACTTATGTTCTAACATTTTCATTTGCGGGAAAAATCGCTAATATTTGAATAGGATAAAAATCTCTCTTTAAATAATAATTTTTGATGAAAAAGAACAACGAAGCCTTATGTTTATGATGGCGGAGGGCTAGAGTTTAATAGTTTATTTGGTCAGCCTGGTCGAACCAAGCAAGAACCTTCTGCAGCCCCACTAACCATGTTGATCGTCCAGTTGTCCTGTCACAGTCTTGAATTCTAGATGAACAGTATGGAGTTGCATCGACAAACGGATAAGAGGTTAATCCCAAAGGAAGTAAAGGGCTTCGTGGAAAAAACAAATACGTGACGAGTGTAACCAATAAAGTAGTTATTTTGTTTGAGGTTTTAAGTTTGAAATAAATAATGACAAAAAAAATAGAAAAGAGAAACATGGCAAGTGTAACATGGAAAATTCCAGTGTAGTATCTTTTACTTTAGGCTTAGTGTCATTTTGATTCCTGAATTTTAAAATGTATTAATCCAGTACAAGTAACATATGAAAGGACATAAATACCCTTCGAATATCATCTAATTTTCTTTATCAATCATTAGAATTAGTTTTCCTCATTTCTCCTACCACTCCAACAACTACCGCTAAATCTAACTCCATCAACCATATCCACCTTCCCCACACGCTCAAGAAACACACCTAAGGTTTTCCCATCACCTAATGTTTTCCCAACAATGGACAAATCCCTGCTCAAAACCACGGTCTTGTTAACAAAATATTCTACATCAATGAGCTGATGGGTGTCTCACGTTTTGATGGTATGTTAGGTGATGAAGATGAGCAACTGCAATGGGAGCTTGGGTGGTATGTTTGATGCCGGCGGGTCTAATTTAGGGCTAGATACATGAAGCACTTCAGTGAAGATTCTTGCTGGTATTGATCTGGTCATGGGGGTGACGGTGATATTGATGCTTGGTAGAAGAGGGCACAAGATTGGGAGAAGTGCAACAACTTCCCATCATGGCTTCGCCTCACAATATGCTTTACCCTTACCATGTCTAAACCTGGCTAAAACCTAGAAACTACTCCTTAAAACCACACATTTTTGTAGTACTTTAAAGGCAACTAAGTTTGACCGAATTAGAGCTGTGTGAACCTAACTCTCTCTTTTGAGAAAGTAATTTAGAATTTAAAGTTAACAACCTGCAGTAATGCCTCTAGAGAAGTTAGAAATGGAAAAGAAATTCAAAAACAACTTCCAAGTTCAACCCACTAGAAATTTCTCTATAGAGATAGAGTATAGGCAATAGGGATCCCAGAGCTCCCTCTGATACTAACTAGTCTTCACTGAGATGAGCCTAATGGAAACCTGCTACAAGAGATAGGAGAAACTGAAAGAGATGCCTTTGATAATGTCTACTTAAATGGAAATAGATGCTACGGAAATAGATGACATACATGGATAGTGTCTTATTTCTTTGGAATAAGATGATGAACAATGTTTTAAAAGGTAATTTTGTCATTTTTAAAATATTTAATTTGCAATGTCACCACGTGGTATCCATTAAGGATGGGTACTGGATTGACATATTTTGAAATTTCAAGTTCTGAATTGACACATTTTAAAGTTTGGGACCAAAGTGACACTAGACCCAAAGTCTAAGGTAGTAATCTAGAATTTTCCCAATAAATAAAAACGTCGCATAAAGTTTCTGATAATCATAAAAACCTCCCCTATAGTTTCATTGTAAGAAATATCTTCCCTGAACAACCTCCTTTCCGTCACTGATGCAACGGAAAACGTTAGTTGATGCACCAATTTTTTCAAATACAGATTTGACCTTTTTTTCCACTGACGCAGACGGGCAAGGATAAGTTCCATTCAATAGCCTACCACCATGACTGAAACAAAGCCTGTAAAATCAAATTGAGCTCTGCTCTTGGCCTTCAATTCAACGCAAAGCCAAGTGCTTGAATGCTGGTTTTCTCGTATTTTGTATGCTTTGCAACTCCAATCATCCCATGGCAGGATGAATTGCTTTTGTTTCTTTTTTCTTTTGTTACAAGAACTGTTTTCATTTTAATTCCTTTTATAAATATCTAGGTGACTTGACAGAAAAAAGATGAAAAGAAATAAAAGAGATACCAGTCCGCGGGCACGCCTGAGCCATTTATCAACAAGACCCAAGATTGGCACTCAGCGGTCAGCGCTGTGATTGTGAGAGGCTGAGAATATTTGACAATGGCCAACTCCAAGTCGCCAGCATTTCATGTTTTTCGACGTCGCTGTGTTGTCTAGTTGTATTCTCCCTCCCCCTCATAAATGTCAAGCATTCTCAGTAGAAGCTTCGATTTCAAGCTCTAAAGTCTAAACTCTAGCTATTTTGCGCAGTCCACAAACTTCATAATAGGGCTACCATAAGTGCAGAAGGCACTTCGATTTCATTCTCATTAGTGCTCTCCATTCCATATTTCCATCTCAGACAGTCAAAAACAACATGGCCTGCCAGAGAACATAGGAGGTGGTGTGGGGCCAATGGAGTAGGAGGTGTAGTAGAAGCCTAGAAGGTGCTTGTGGGTTTGTGCAGAAGCATTGGTGAATCTAATAACCTAACGTCTTGGATTCTTTAGATCCAATTTTGTGGGTTTGTACAAGTGAGAGGAGGAAGAAGAAGCAGAGAAATGATGCAATTCATAGCTCCAATACACCATCTTTCTCTTGGGAACCACTACAAAATTCAGAACAATAGGAGGGGTGAAAGAAGCCTAGAAGGTGTTTGTGGGTTTGTATAAGCGAGAGGAGGAGGAAGAAGCAGAGAAATGAAGCAATTCACAGCTCCAACACACTGTCTTTCTCTCGGGAACCACTACAAAACTTAGAACAATCTCGCAGAATCATTTCCTTCAATTTCTATATTTCACTTTCAAAGAAAGCCCGTGATGAATCGGAACTCGGTTTTGCTTCAAATCATTGCTTGCAATAGCTTCAATGAAACACCGGCCATCACAAAGGATTTCTCTATAAACCAGCAATGCACGATTTTCTTTCAGTGGTGGTTCTATTTCCTCAACACTCTGAACCCTTCAATAGGAATGGGAAGATACAGGGCCAATCATGTCGCTTCATGTCCGTCTGATACGTGGCGTCCAAGTGTATGGACTAGATTACTTGCCCAGAACTATGAGTAGAAATGTAGATGATGGCAGCTCGTCTAGTAATCGTTAGTGGACATTGAAGTTGACTTTGCCGGCTCTGTTTCAGTCATGGTGGTAGGTTATTGAATGGAACTTATGTTTAAAAAAAAAAAAATGATGCATCAACTAACGTTTTCTGTCAGGTTTTTGTCGAGTTTTTGTTACAATGAAATTACAGGGAAGGTTTTTATGATTGTCAGGTTTTTGTCGAGTTTTTGTTACAATGAAATTACAGGGAAGTTTTTGTATATTATTATTAGATAGGATAAAATACCACAGTGTTATCTTGTATTTTACATTCCATCACTCGTTTCTTGCCATTAGCATTTGGTTAGGTAAGTTGAGAGAAGATTCAGACGTGATAGTCATTTACACCTAAAAACATTTCTAAAACCCTAAACTACTCTGAAGTCCAATTTGCTCCCCATGTGATGATTGTTATGTACATCTACCTCCTATGTAGAGGTGTAAAGTGAGCCATGCTGTACTAGTTCGCGGGTCATCATGGGCTGTGCCGTATTCCCCGGTGAAAAATTTGGGGGTTGGTCTGACATGGCCAACGGCCTAGGCCCATGTGGGCTTGTGCCGTGCCATGGGCTGGGCTGGCTTGTGGGCAGAGCCTTGGGCCAGGTCGGGCCATGTATCGGGCCAAGGCTATTTATTTAAAAAAATGACAAAAAAACTTAAAATTTTAATTTTATATGAATTTTGTGTATAAAATTGCTTATATATGCAATAGTTAAATAAATTAGTATAATAAAATTAAAAAAATATTTATTTTATTAATATATTATATACTATATATTATTATATAATTATAATATATATAAAAAATATATAAATATATATAATATATTGGGCCATGCCTGGTTGTGCCAGCCCGCTGCTGCCCGCTCGGTTGTGCCGTGCCAGCCCATGGACCTAAAATCCCAGGCTCGCAGACCGTCGTGTTGGGTCGTGCCGGGCCACGGGTGGCATAGGCCGATTTATACCTCTCCTCCTATGTTGTCATTCATGGGTAGATTTTCTAATGCACAACTGCAATGTTTTGTGAGGTTGGTGTGGGAAGTAGGGGTGAGCATTATTCTCTTAAAATTGAAAAACCGAACCAAAAATTTCAGTTTTAGACATGATAGTCATTTACATC